ATCATCATCATTATCATTATCATTATTATTATTATTATTATTATTATTATTATTATTATTATTAAAGAAACCTCAAAAGCCGTACAGGAGTCTGCAAACATTGTTACAAAGTCGAGGATAAGTGAGAAAAATCTCCATCACCTTTGAAATAAACCTTTTTTTGCAGTTCAAGACACCATAAAATGGCTCAAAAATCTGAATGTAAGTAAACTTCACATCACAGATAACCTTTTTCTGTGTTATTCGTTTTTTGGTGTTTATTTATTTATCAACTTTATTTAACAATTATTCGCCGAAGGCGAAGTGATTATCGGGGAATATTTACCGAGACGCGAGTCTGTAAGCGGCGAGGTAAATATTCCCCAATAATCACTGAGCCTGAGGCAATTAATTGTTTTAGTATAAATACACAGGTGATTCTTTAAAAAAAAAAAGAGGCATTTTTTCCCCGTAAACAGCAACAAAGCGGCTGGCCGCCATTTTGGATTTTCGCTTGATGTGATTATTGTGTGATAGTGTGAGTTTCTTGACCAATTAGCGCGCGAGATTTTCTATAATCACCTGCGTATTTTTACTAAAACTAGATAATTAAATCTAATTGAGGGCATGGCCAACAGGACAAGAGTCCCATGTAAAGACCAACCTAACTAAAATACACACTAAAAGAAAAAAGTAACAGTAAAGCAAATATAACAATATAATTTACAAAGTTAAGAACAACAATTTGGATTATACGAGCGACACTAATTCGAACAAAAGGATTTCCACGTGCGCATTGACATCAAAAGTAGAGTTAAGTTTAGAATTTTAGTGTTATCCCGTATTCGGTAGAGAACGCTTTATAAAAGCTAGAACAGAGCTAGAAACGACACAGTCAGATGGAATGATATTTCTTTACTACAAAGGCACATTGGCACTGAATTTGAAGATACACGCAAGCCCCTGCTCTCCTTGACCAAGGGCACTAGAACATTACCTAAAAGTGGTCGGATTTTTGTAAGTTTTTCCACGATCAACCGAATACGGACAAATGGTCGTACCACCGATTTTAAAAATCTGTTAGAAGCACGTAATATTCTAATATACACAACGGCTTTATCAAGACGCCCTTGGCCAAGTACATGATAGCTGAGGTATTTCTCTTTTTAGGGAAGAATCTTGGATACGAGCTCTACAAGGAGTGGAAAGGAGAAGACGATTTTAATGCAAAAATGGAGCAGTTGAATAAGGTTATAGTCAAATCTTGAGTGAGTGGGCTTGTAGACGTTAAGGGACAGACGCAAAAAAAAAAACACTTACGGAGAGACGGACAGACAGACGGACGAA